TGTACAAATAATTTTATATTTATAAGAAGAAATAAAAATCTTTGTTTTAATTTTATTTGGAGAAACAATTGTACTGAAAAAGGAGCTAAAGAAATTAAAGAATATTTCTTTGGAAAGTGATTTGAAACAAATGCTTGGTAAAAAGCAATTTAAGATAATTGCATTTGAACTCTTTAAAGATTTAGAGAATAACAAAAGGTCGTGCAATTTAAAGAAACCTTATCCATTTCATTCATTAAGTAAATTATCATGCACATCTATAAAACTGTCACATTATAAAATGATTTTAATTGCATTGCTGTTAGATTGCGTAATTTCTTTTTCTTAGAACGACCTAATCACTATAGTTTCGCAGATGAAATCGATTTAACTCTTCGAATTAAAAAGAGAGAAAAAGTTAAATCTGTTCATTTCGTTTCATTATTAAACCAACGTATATTTAAGCTAGATATGCATATTAACGGTAAATATTAAGAACAACAGTCTTAAAATTTAACACAAAAATAGTAAAAATTTAAAGTAAAAAGACACTATCTTAAGTTAGTCATTCATTTCTGACGATTCAGCAATCATTGAGTGGCGTTTCATTTGTCCTTAATACCATTTTGCCTCAATATTATAAAATGTTTAACAATATGTGAAGTTTAGCAAATTTTGTGGATTTTCAGATATTTGTCAAGGCATAAACTTTAATATATTTAGCGGACTTTTCGACATTTGACGAAACATGAACTTTATTATGTTTAACAAATCAGATATTTTAGGAAGCATGAAATTAAATATATTCGGCGGGCTTTCAAACATTTGGCAAAGCATTATCTCGATATTTACCAAACTTTCAGATATTTGACGAACTGTAGAACTTTAATATATTTCATGCACTTTCAGATAATTGACGAAGAATGAATTCTCAAATATTGGAATAAGCTTTTTCCTCACTTACCTCGGGTCAGTAAGATGGTTCTTCAGATATGTTAATCTGATTTAAAGACTTTCATCTCTGTCATGCAATTGTTATAAACGTTAGAGGTCTCGCTTGACCAGTAAGTTTAATCGGTTTAAATTCTACTGAAGGCTGAGGACTCATCACTCATAATGGTTAATTTTTGTTTTGTTTTATATTATCAATTAGAATCAGTGTTAAGAAGCAATAACCCCTTTTTTTGTTATCTACTAATTACTATCGAAAACTGCTTTCAAATAGGTACAGTATTAGTTTCTTTTCGTAATTCAATGGACGTAATTTAATTTCGTAATTTAATACTACTAACTGGACAAGCTCGGTTAATCATTAATCAATTACGATAAAACAGCATTCATGAGACTCTTATAATGGAAATCTTGAGAATAACTAATGTAACATAAAATTAACCTAACCTTTTAATTTTAAAATATTTTAATTGCAATTTCAAAGGCACACGAGCAACATGTCCATGTAAAAGCGCCCCTAGCAGCGTAAGACGACCTCACCAATCATGGTTTCCTAGGTAATTCTTAATCTTTATCATGTGCCCTACTTTCTCTTGAAGTTTGTAAAAGCATTTACGGGACACCTTGTACTCATAAAATAAGTATATTTTATGGAAATAGGTGCTAAACACACTCCACGCTTCTACACGTGTGAGATTTTTTTTGTTCTAACGGAATGGATCTATTAGAAATTGAGTGCAACAGTGTAACAGCATAACTACTTTTGCTCACAAATTGTTTTAAGTTTCGAATTATTTTAAATCACTTTCAGCAAATTGTTTAATGGCTGAAGGAAAAACTGATATGGGCAAATGGCAATTTTTTCTGTCTTGAAAATTTCTGCAATAGATACTGTGGAACCATTTGCTTACAACAACTAAATCCCCTCACAGGCCTAGAAACAAGAATTTGTTTTGTTTTAAGGGATTTAACAATAAAGCTAAAAAGAAATCTTTCTAAACAACAACTAGAGATTAAGCTTTTACTGAGAAGTGTAAGAACTGAGTGTAAGAGGAGAAAGGATGTTTTATGCAAATAAATGACTAAATACAAATATTTAATTACTGCGAACGATGACAATTAATTTAAAAGTAATGACCAACATGTGAAAAAAACTCTATTACATATCCGTATGAACGCATTTTGTTTGAAGTGCAAGCACTTATTTATTAGATATAGAATTTGCAGCGTGTTTACTTTGTAATTTTTTTAATAATCTCTCATTTTAAATCTTGTTTTAATCTCTTATTTTAAATCTTGTTTTGTCCCGCAGTGGACTGATCGTTAAGACACCGTTCCCAGCAGATCACCGAAGTCAAGCATCACTGGCTACGGTCAGTGTGCGGGTTGATGACCACTTGGATCAGTCTGCGTAGGGACCGAGGGTGTGCGGTATTGGTCCTCGTTAAATTGTGCTACCGTAAAGTGCTCGACTTCGCGTGCAGGTCGTCGGGCTACCGAAGCGCAGAGGATCAAAATTGTGATGACATGTCTTCGGATCATCCTTCGGGATGTTTTCCAGACCGTCGCCAATAGCCCATTGTGCAGCTCTAGTGCGACGTAAATTAACAACAACAACAACAAATCTTGTTTTAATCTATTATTTTAAATTTTAAATTTTATTTTAAATCGTTTTAATAATCTCTTATCAAAATAATCTAAATTTATTTTTGAAATTATTTCTATTATCACTCGAATTTGTACTTAATATAAATGAAAAGCATTGAGAAAACTAAATAACACTATTTGCATGCAGTTCAAGTTTTGAAATTCAAGCACTTCCCGTGACCTTTCGCATAACTTTTTAACACTCGTGTTTTCACGGACTTAATCCAACGATTTTGATGAAATTCGTATTTTCAAAAAAATGACAATAGCAATTTCTTTCATTTGACTAAATGTTTGTTCGGAGTATTACTCAAGAAGGTTTTCATCAAAAATGAAACGCATTTCGTTAATGTTGATTATGAAATTTTTACAAATGATCTTTCCTTTGCGTAGGACAAGAAATAAATGACGTCATAGTGTCCAAAATAATGAACATTTCATACCAAAACAACCAAAGTTTTACGAAGATCTATGTAAAGTAATTATTTGTCAAGAATATTTTCTGTTTGATTAAAAGATTACAATTCTTCGCCAAAATGAGAGACTGTAAATTCGTTTTATTACATGGAAATTACAAATTTGAAATATGTACTAGTTAGCATTGTCTCTTCCTTTAATAATAAGCATATTAAGTTAAATAATGCATATTCTTTGTGTAGAATTCTTGTTTTATTAAAAACCAAATGCATGATTGTCTTGAGAGAAAAGATGAGAAGTCAAATAATAAAATTAAATTTAGCATAAAATTTTGTTTCACGTCTGCGAATTTTCCCTCCCTGGCGGATTAGTTTGATATTTTACTCTTATTTCTTTCACGCAACGAATTTAATTAATTTGGCTATATTTGATAAGTTTATTAAAGAATAAATCTTCAAAGTTTACTAAAAATGTTTCCTTTCAAATGTTAGTTTTCAGGAGTATCAAATTTATTAAATTTGCATTTCAAACTCTAAGTTTATAATAAATAAATTATTAATTACGCTGATTTAGTAGATATATGTTGAGCACTTACTTGTTGAAAATTGTTTACTTAATTAAAAATTAGTTTCAAAAATACTCAATAATGAATAAATAAAAGAATATTGATACTTATAGATACATTTGACTATGGAATTTTAAATTTATGCTTAATTTGACAGAAAATTTGTCTATTTTAAAATTACTTTCCAATAGAAAGAAAATAATAATAAGTTACTTACTTCATGAATAAAGTAATGAAATTTGCTTTAAATTATGCGAAAGCTAAACATAAGAAACATAATTTTTTAAACACTTTTTGATTTTTTGTTGTTGAAAGTGTAATGATAGTTTTTAATTATAAATTATATTTATTTTATTATAAATTATATTTATATGTATTTTACTATTTAATTATAAAAAGAAATATCTGTCTTCAGAGATATCATTGCTAACAATAATTCTTAAACGTATTATTGTAAAAAACAATGCTTGCTACAATATAAACCCTTTAAATTGAATATTAATATATTCATATATATAGTTATAATTTAAAAAAAAATACTTCAAAATATCTGTTGTGTTTCTTTTATTTTAAAAATAATTGCCTATAAAGGCCATTTTTTCACAAACAGGAGAACTATTAAAATGTACATGTACAGTGCGGAAGAAAATGGACTACCTTGAATAATTTTTGATCTAATTATTGGTTCATCACATTTTAAAACTCAATCTTAATGGCTCAAGAGGGTGAATTCTAATATGCTAGTTAATAAGTGAAGACGTGAAAACGATATTTTAAGCTACGAAATCGGACACAAAAACGCATTTTCCCTGAATAAACATTCAATGGATTCATTTTTACAATGGATTCGAATTTCTGACCTCCAAATTATTGGGGGGGGGGGTCCTCGCAATCTGGAAAATATAGGGAAAGTATATTTTCACTTTCTAATAGAGTTCTCCAAAGTTCGAACCCCTTAATGCTAATTTTTCTTTTTGCGTATTTCGCTGTACCTCGAGAACTTTTTAAGCGAATTGAAAAATGTTTGCACACAATTATAAAATTGGTTTATCTAAACATCATTCCAGGCAAAACTTAATTTTTTGTTATTTTATTTAATAATCGCCCAAAACATTTTGAGTAGTAAGATATGCAAATTTTAACTTGATGAAGAAGAATATAAATTTACACGGCAATATACGAAATTTGAGCATAATCGGTTGACTCGTTCCTGAGAAATCGAGTTTTAAATATCTGACTTCTTTATCGTCTTCTTTAAAATGATACAAAAAATTTTATACATTACAATCCAAAATTTTTCTACCATTATTAAAAATAATAAAAAATAACAAATATTTACTAAAAGCTTTTTTTTGTGCTTGGAATTATCTTTGAATAAACGAATTCCTATGACAAATTTTTTTTATGTTTGGATCTTAAATTATTTTACCTTTGAATATAGGTGTCCCAGAGTGTCTAGGATTACAAGCCGTGGTTACCAGTACATCATCTAAGTCAAGCATCACTAGCAGCAGTAAGTAAGCGTTTAAATTCCTAAAGCTGAATTAGGCAATGTCAAATGCTTGCATAAATGCCAAAAAACAATTTCCCAGTGCGTAACTATTGAAGAGGTTATTCTTTTAGAAAAAAGTAAAGAAATATAAGCCTTCTTGATAAAAATAAATCAACTGGTTTCAAGTGTTCAAAAAAGGCACGCATTTTGAAGACTAACCAGACTTGAATGACAAGAAACAAATGAAAAAAACAAGAAAAAATTTTTTTTTTCACGTCTGGCAAATCTTTAAATTTGGCGTTTCTTTTTGAGGGCTCGATACGTGTAGACTGTTATTTCCTATTTATGTATTTTTGAAGCGAATGAAGTTTCTAATCAAGTATAACTTACCAGTTAAAATTTTTAGGGCATAAATATATTAAAAATTTCAAACTTGTCTTGGTAGCGCACATGCAATGCTTTTGCATTTTACACTAACTTCATGTCTAAACACAACAAAAAATAAATATAATTTTTTAAAAAAAAACTATTTATTTTAACAAATTCCTTTCAATAATGAAAGTAAAAGGAAAATATATCCTCTGATCTTATAAGGAAACAAATCAGTGGACAATTTCTAGTTGGAACTATACTAAAAGCTTTCGTCTGCATAAATTTTCCGTAATTAATTTCAAACAAATAAATTATTCTTTTGTTTATAGAATGATTAACTTTCTCTGATTTCTGAGGCATTTAACAAAACCTTTGGAACAAAATATGATAGTTTAACCAACAATAGTTCAAAATCTTAAGCGAGAAATTAACTGTTATCAGACTGAAATGTTTCAAGAAGTAATTAAAACAATCTCTATATTCATCATGGATGAATATTATAAACAATATCTCGCTGCTATTAAAAGTAACAATGTAATTCTATGAATCCAAGCGAAAAGTAATTTACTCTGAGCAAAATGTCTTTTTAAATAACAGGAGAAAATAACTTCCTGAGACGTAATTGAGGAAAAGGGCTTGCAAACAATTACTTGGAAATGCTTTCAGCTGAAAGATTTGGAAATAGATAATTTATATGTAAATGCGATAGGAATATATTATAATATTTTCTACGTCGCTGTCTCCATATAGAGATCGAAATTTGTTGAAGAGGAATACATATTTATTTTATACTTATATGAAAATAAAATTAATCTTAAAGAAAAGAAAATATTCCATGCGTTAAAAGTATTATTTAAAAAATAATATAAACAATGCAGGTAAAAACGACGGTTCGAATTTTAAGATCATCAGAAATCGTTTTGAAAATCTATTGACAGAAATATTTAAAATCAGTATATTGATATTCTGTGCAATAACTATAAAATTAAATTTTCTATTTCATGCAATGCAAATTAATATTCAACGGGAAGAAAAAAAATCCGGTAAAATTACCGTTTTCTTTTGGTTATGACATTTCGCTTTGAAAAAAAGAAAACAAAAAAAAATGCTTTTGATAATACCAAAGTATACATCGAAGAGCCATTACATTATGACCACCCTCCACCTTTAACAATGGGTTCGCTCAGGTTTTTATGGTTTCTCGCCCAGGAACAATGTTTTCACGGGTCACATTAGGATCCATAATCTTCATAGAACAATCCCCGATGTCTTGTAAGCTACTTGAACATACACTGGTTATCATAAATTAAGGAAAAATCACAAAAATAGCGATAACTCTTTCAAAAGTAAGCCAAACCGTGCAAAATTTGCATATGTTGTCCACTAAGAGTAGCTGAGTAAAATTGCAATATGCAAATTAGTGGCGCTGCACTCGGCTTACGTCATCNAAGTCATGTCTTGGCCCCCAAATTCACCTGACCTTAATCCAATAGAGCATTTCTGGTCCTACTTGGAAAACCAAATTCGTCCTGCCACGCTACCCCCTCGCAGAATGAGGGAATTGCGGGACCAGTTGGTGAGCGCTTGGTACCAGATACCTCAGACTACCTATCAGCACCTTGTGGAATCAATGCCACGGCGGGTGCAAGCAGGTTTGTTGGCAAAAGGTGGTCCTACATGTTATTAGCAGGGTGGTCATAATGTAATGGCTCTTCGGTGTATATNATACCTCAGACAACCTATCAGCACCTTGTGGAATCAATGCCACGGCGGGTGCTAGCAGGTTTGCTGGCAAAAGGTGGTCCTACATGTTATTAGCAGGGTGGTCATAATGTAATGGCTCTTTGGTGCAATTTATTTAAACCATTAGGTAATTTTTCTGCTCATATGGAACCGGAACTTCTTGTCATTACTACAAATTCTGGTTTTAAAATTTACAGTTGTCATTATTACACATTTAACGATATATTCAAAACTGAAAAGTAAATTTGAACGAATAAATGTCTTTTATTCCATTATTTAATGTATCATGATAAGACAACCAAATATAACCCCATTTACTATATTTTATCATATCATAAAACCATATTTTAATTATTTTACCAAAATCATTACCAAAGCACTGATGTAAAAATTACCGAGCTTTTTTTGTGTTTCCATGACACCAGAAACACTGCGAAATTTATTTTATTCTGGTAGTTTTGAATTTCTTTTTTTCAGTGCAGAATAAACAAACGATGGTAATGTTGGAAATTAAAGAATAAGGAAATGCTGCCAAAAATTACGATTGTAAAACGTAAAATGCTGCGAAAAATGGCACAGTAAGTACGATGTAATAAATTAAATAGTTTATTCCAGAAAAGCAGAAAACTTTGGGTTTTTACATTTTTGACTTTTTAAATACAATTGTTTGTTTCCAAATGCTTAAAGGGAAGCAGAACTCATCCACGGCAGAAAGTTTTTCCTTTCTTACCTTTTTTTCAAAACTTAACCTACTGTAAATATTGTGTTTTTTTTAATTAGAAAAAATTGGCATCGCATTTGTTTCATTATAATTATCTATTTATAACATTTATTTTTCACAATTAAGATAGTTCTGTCTATCCTAATATTTTAGCAATAAATAGTTTTCTTTAAAATCTAAATCCAAATCAAAGTGCATTTCAGCACATAAAATGGAAGTTAAATTATTAAAATGTTGATTTAAATTAAAACTACGGTTGCTATCATTTTTCCCATAGATGCAATTTTTATGTCATTTCAAAATTCGTCAGTGTGCGTTAATATCTTAAATAGGTGTGGAAAGAAATACGCAGAACACACACTAGAGGGCGTCATTGAATTATGTCAACAGAATCACAATTTAGAACTTATTAGTATTCAATTGTAATTGCAACCGTCATCTAAAATGCTCGGGGTGAAAAGCAAATATCTACACATATTTGTGTACTATCACTCTCTGTCTTTGTCTTATATACAATATGCTTTAAAATATATTTCATTGTTACTTACCTATTTTACTAGTATAATTTCGGATTTGAGTAATTTTCTTTTTATAGAAAGTAATATACATTCACGAATAGTTAAATGAATCTTCTGTGTTAAATTCGATATAAATCTGGGTTAAATTTGAGAAAGCAGGAGACTGTTTGCGAAACTAGGTTCCTGTGTCCTGGACAAATTTTAACGCTGAAAGCAACGTAATGAATTTTCATCGCTTAAAACGTGATGTGATAAAAAACACTTTCGTAGAATACGTAATTGGATAATTAAGTCTTTAATTATAGTTAGGAAAATGCAAGTATAATTGACTTCAGACAAAACAATTGACAAAATGCCATTAAAAAAGCTCATTTTAATATTCAAAATGTTCTGAAATGAACATAATAGGGTATATTTAATTGAATACGATAGGATAAATTATGAGGGTTATTCATTTCCTTTTATGTGCTTATCTTTTAGGGTTAAAGTCTTCTTAAAAGGTTCATGAATATACTTCAAAGCATGTTCACATAGAATTCCTTAACGTAAAGTATATACTTAAACCTTTCATCGATTCTTAATAATTTGACTCTTCTCTTTTAGTTGAGTTATATAGGGGTTTTAAACCCTGAACTATTCGAAATTTGAGCGCTATTCTATTGATTGGGAATGCGAATTATTATAATTATCTTCTTCCACCAGAAAATTTTGTTTACTTTATTAAATTATTATTTATCTAGTCGCACTTAATGATGATTTTAAATTTATATTGGATAAGGTCATTTTATGAACTGCTGAAATATTTAGCTATAATATATACTGAGTCTTACAATAGTCCTTCCATTAAATTTAAATAAATAAGTGAAATAAAATATCTGGTTTATATTAGATGTCTGGTCTAAGATATTAAGTAATTCTAATGTATCTGCAATCTAATCAATTTAGCTAAATGATTTAATAAATTAACTAATTTATCTATCTATTACTAAATAATGCTCTTGGAAAGAGAAAACATTCCTTCACCGTAAACTTCTCCAGTTGTGCAGCAATAGCAATTCTGTGAAAATAGTAAAATAGAATATCATATCTTATTAATTGAAAGCTATATATATATATTAGCATGTTCATTTACTCTGTAAATAAGAGTATCACGTTTAATCAAAGAAGCGAAAATTTAGACTTCAAGTAAATTTATCATTTAGTAGATGCTAGTAAATAAGGGTAGTATATATAATTAATCAGCAAAGAAGTTATCTAAGCCTTATTTGGACATAAGTAAAACTCCAGTTTTGATCAGTTTGGGAAACAGAGCTGAAGTCTTATCAGTGATTTGTTTTTAATATCGTATCTGACTTTTTATTCTTTTCATTTTACAGTAAAAACTAAAAGAATGAATATGTCTAACCATTCAAAAACTGTAAATATCTTATAATTAACAACCATTCCTATATAATGACCACACGTTACATTCNTAGCAGTTCTGAGAAAATAGTAAAATAGAATATCATATCTTATTAATTGAAAGCTATATATATATATTGGCATGTTCATTTACTCTGTAAATAAGAGTATCACGTTTAATCAAAGAAACGAAAATTTAGACTTCTAGTAAATTTATCATTTAGTAGATGCTAGTAAATAAGGGTAGTACATATAATTAATCAGAAAATAAGTTATCTAAGCCTTATTTGGACCTAAGTAAAGCTCCAGTTTTGATCAGTTTGGGAAACAGAGCCGAAGTCTTATCAGTGATTTGTTTTTAATATCGTATCTGACTTTTTATTCTTTCTATTTTATAGTAAAAAATAAAAGAATGAATATGTCTAACCTTTCAAAGACTGTAAATATCTTATAATTAACAACCATTCCTATATAATGACCACACGTTACATTCTTTGCCAAACATAAAAATGTAAAGATCAGAAAATTTTCGGATATTTCCATTCTAATGATGGTAACTATTCAGAATAAAAAGACTGTTTATTCAGAAAAAAAAAGTTTTTTTGCATACACAAACCTGATTTCTGAACACAGATAGAGAAAGTAAATATTTACAGATTCGTCTATCTCACTCTTTTTTCTCTTAGCCTTAGGTTACCTAAACAGAATTGGTAATATCCGATCGAATGAAAGGAAATCCGCAGGAATGTTGATTGAATTAACGCGCATAAAGGAAATGAATAATTTCTTTTTAGCCGCAAATAAAAGCAGACCCTCTATCAAACAGAAGTTTTATAACGCATGTATTTTACAGAATAATATCGCATATAGTTTACAAATATAAGTTAATAATATACAGAAAGCATGGAAAAATATAATAAAGATTTATGAACGAAGAAGAAAAAGTATTATGAAAATAAAGTGTCTTAAAAAATATTTCAGAATTTTATTTAAAAAAATTAAAAATTCAAATCTTCAAAACAGAAAAAAAGGAAAAGATATAATCTCGTCGTCAGCTCACACGAATATATCAGCAAAAATAGTGCTATCTAATATTGCATTAATGTAGTATAAGATAAGGTTGGGTGACAAGGAATTTATTTTAGATGAAATATAATTGAGAGGCGAGAAGATATTTAAAAAAAACGATTTTAATAAACAATAATAATAACGAAGATATTTAATACACAATAATAAACTACGAAAAATATTTTAAAGCGAAGCGTTTTATATCTATATATATTCTGTTTCTAAATTTTTTGTTTGTTTGAATGTTTCATTTTTCTGCACTGTGATATTATTATACTTATGCGAACCTTACATTCGTCCCCGCTCATTGCGAAATGTAGATATTTATATCGAAATGTAACATTAAAGGCAGACATGTAACATATGGTTCTAAGGCAGATTTGGTCGATGATAGGCAATAACATTCTATTTTCCAGGCCGATAAACAGACGTTAAGTGAAGTTGCGCAAAATCCACTAAATAGAGTGTGAATTTCCGATTGAGATATGGTTTCGCAGCAACATATGCAGTCGTATAGTTGTCTGTTATCAGCAGAAATTCGTGACTAAGAGTAAGATATATTGGTGAAAATTTTCAGTAAATGACCAGTGTAGAGCACTCTTCAGCTCATTTCTGTGCATTGCATTATTAATGGAACTAAGTGAGGCCTATAGTCTAGTTTTCAATTGGTTGGGAAATTTTCGAACGTTTATTTCGTTATTGAGATGAAGGTGAAATTCGTTGACGGGGAGATAAACTGCACATTAAAGAGACATGAACTTTTTGGCCGCATAGCCAGCACGTAATATCTCGAACATTATCAGTAGCAGAGTTATATTTGCGTGGTTGTTCAAAGTGTGAATGGAGAGTTTTCGACTGAGATTTCGGTAATGAAAAAAGGTTAGTTGAATGGCGTGACATATCTTGTTTGGAATTTNCTAAATAGAGTGTGAATTTCCGATTGAGATATGGTTTCGCAGCAACATATGCAGTCGTATAGTTGTCTGTTATCAGCAGAAATTCGTGACTAAGAGTAAGATATATTGGTGAAAATTTTCAGTAAATGACCAGTGTACAGCACTCTTCAGCTCATTACTGTGCATTGCATTATTAATGGAACTAAGTGAGGCCTATAGTCTAATTTTCAATTGGTTGGGGAATTTTCGAACGTTGATTTGGATATTGAGATGAAGGTGAAATTCGTTGAAGGGGAGATAAACTGCACATAAAAGAGACATGAACTTTTCGGCCGCATAGCCAGCACGTAATATCTCGAACATTATCAGTAGCAGGGTTATATTTGCGTGGTTGAGATTTTGGTACTGAAAAAAGGTTAGTTGAATGGCGTGACATATCTTGATTGGAACTTCGAATTGCATCAAGTGTGGCAGCTATGTCATTAAATTCTTCGACAGTAATCGAATTCTTAGTTAAAGTAATCTGTCATCTTTATTCTGTAATGTCACCAATTATAATAGAAATGCGATGAGCTTGTGGTATAGTAAACGGAGCTTTTTTCAAGAAGAGCATCCTTATCAGAAATATAATCAACTTAGCTTTCATTATTTTTCAATTTATGAGCACTCTGGTGAGCTAAACATGTTTGCATTGCAATGCGCCTTTTAAATCTGACGGAGAGGACAATTTTCCATGCAGTCCAGTAATTTTTTTTTTAATTTTATATTTTATATCAGTCGTTGTTACGGCTACTAATGTTCAAGAAGACAAGGAAACTCCCTAATTAGTACCCCCAGAAGTATGATTTCTTATGGGAACATCGAGGACCTTGCGACTCGACAGATTTAACATACATCTGTCGCCATTTACTACACGGGGAGTCTTCGGCCGGCTGGGATCTAACCCACTATCTCTTGGACACGGACCCAGTGCT